TAACCCACACATAATTTTCCCATATATTGCACATGAGACACCCCAATATTAATTATTACCGCCATCTGTTGAGAAAAAAGCGAAAAAAAATAGATTTGAATCAAACCAATTTACCGTGCATGGATTTGACAGGACGCAAAACGATGAAAAATAAGAAGAAGAGTTGTAAACAATATTCTTCTTAGCCGTCCGCGAGTTAATTTGAAAATCGGATCTGTTTTTTTTTTTTATGAGCGTTTCCTAATCATTTTTATTGCCGTGGCGTGAAAAGTGAACCTCGAGGTGAAACTTGTGGATAGGCATGTAAAACTGATTAGGCATGTAAAACTGCTGAAAAACGAGGCTACAGCACGGAACCAGTGAAATGCGGTGACGTAGGCTAACAATATAATGACATACATTTTTCGATTCCAGATTAGGTCGAGTACGTCGAGTACCGGAGGATCATTTTCATGATGTTGATACAGGTATTGAAGATTATCATGCTCAGTGTGGCCCTTCTTGACAAGGACATATTGGGAACCGAATAAAAAAGAGCTCGGCTGGAGATTCATCGCGCTTTACGCCCTTCTACGGCTACCGTCAACGATGCGACGAAATCGAGTGTCCAATATCATGGTCACTGTTGCACTTTCGGCCCTCACTCTAATCGTAACATTCGTCCATATTGGTTAAAATGTTGGCCACTTCAATGTATGAACCATCAATTGACACCATAATCGATTTTGTCAAGGGCGGTCTCCTCTGGAATGCTCCATATGACGTGTCGATGTACCTTATCGTTGTAAGCGGAAATGTAAGCTTGGTATGGTTTTTGATTTTATACAGGTACGTTTAATTCCCAACTCCTGATTCTAGCCTTACATCAAGAAGATCCTGACCAAGTTCAACGTCACACCAATATTGAAATTAGAAACCAACCGTGGAACTGAACATTAATCATTTATTGCGCTATTCCGGAAATCGCGAGACATTCTATGTCTTGGAAATGCAGTAGCAGACGCACAATAATACATGGAAGGGAGAAATGTAGAACACACATAAAACGCTAAATACATGTTGAACTTTAAAAGATACTGATATTTATTCGACGTAAGCAAGAACATTAAGGATTGTACATCAAGTGGTGTCACATTTTAGTAAGCATTGATTCGAACAAAGAACGTACTGTGACTGTACAGTTATCTTATTGTATGTTGAGCTTCTTGCGTTTAGTTAGTTCCCTCTTAGTTTTTTTGTTCTTACGATTTGTTTTATCATCTACTTTTATCTTCATGTTCATGATCTGTAATTTGGCTTTTACCAGCATATTTAGATATTTGTTGGCAACTATCATTGCACAAGGAACGCAAAGTACGTCATATACCAGCTTATCGTTATTTTTCGATTGATACGGCCAGAAAATAGTTTGCAATATAGCACGCTTAACACCACGAACGCTTTTTTTCAGATGTGTTTCGAAAGTTTTCTCGAAGACGGAAACAATTTTTTTTGCAAAACTGAAACATCTTTTCTCCTGGAACGAACAACCGACTTTCTGGCTTATATCTCTTCAAGTCGAGTAGAAACGCTGACCTGCTAGTAACATTAGAGGTGGCCCTTTCGATGCATTCTCGGTGTTTCAATTGAGAGCAGACCCAACCAGTTGAGTAGTAAATGCTGCTCAGCTGATTAGGATCGGTGATATCGCTTTCGTTGACTTTCTTGTTACGGGGCCTTCGTTTTTGAGGTGCCTTTGGGATTAACTTAATTTTAGACATTTGGGATGTGTTTACGAAATACTTGTTGATGTCGGCTTGAACATTACCAAGCTTTTTAGGTGCAATCAGCTGGTTGATTACAATTGCCTTATATGCCGATGCAAATTTACTCGCATCTGGATGGTTGTTGTTGGAATTTTTCCAACGAATTACCGAAAAAAAGTGTTCAATGCAATCTTGCGATAAGTTGCGAGTTTTTAGAAATCCAAATCCATACACAGTTCTCAATTCCTTCCATAGATGTTCAATAGCGGATATGTATTGAATCCAGCCTTCAATGAAATAAGGAAGTCTCGATTGGCCCATCAGTTTTGGTAGCTCAGATTCCTGTAAAATCAAAAATACGTTCAGCAGGTTAGCAGGTACAAGATTGCAATTAATCTCACCATTTCCAGGTCAAAATATTCCTTCGAAATGAACCTGAGAGATTTAAGTCGTTGTTTCATTGAAGCTAAATACTCCCAATGCGGAGAATGTTCAAACAGTGGTCTTTTAAGATCCTGCAAATGTAAATGTTTACGTAACAATATGCATTTGAACATGATTACCTTAGTTACCTTAGTTTCTTTAAAAGACAAAGAGTTAGCGCAATCAAAAAGTTTGTCGAAGCTTTCGCAGTAGTTTGCAGTATTCAAACATGCGGGTGGCAGTTTTTTGGTATGCACATATGCCTTGATACCTGCACTCACAGACTCGCTTAATGTCTGCGTTGCTTTTCCAACGTTCATTTCGGCGTAGGGAGCAAGATTTACATGATCATAAGATAGTTTCGGTACAGTTCGGGGAATATGTTTGATATCTTCATGGAAAAGATCAATTATGTGTTGAAATGAACAAATTTGTCCATCGAAGACAGCATTGTGACGTAACAAGTTGTTCCTGGTCGATTTAATCAGATGCGGCGCGTCGTAGGCACAGTAAATTTGTTGTTTCTCGTATACAAACCATGGTTGTTGTTCACTGATTCCGAGGGATTTGAAAAGAGATCGATTCGTGCTGTTCTGATCACACGTTATCATTTTCGGTATCAGTCCTGTCTCAGCAACTAGCTTAACTCCTTCTTTAACAATTGTAGTTAAACGAGCTGCGTTAGCAGTACTCGCATTAAAGAAAAAACCAACTGCCTGTTTAAACCCGGACTTCATCGATTTTACCATGATAGTCAATGCATTATTAGCTCGTTGTTTTAAATTGTTGTCCTCCTTCCCAACTTTCGTGGGGAACCCCATGAAATAATCTATTTCTGCATTAGCCACGTAGGTCAGTCGCTGTGCTATCGACATCTCATCTATGACAATCGTCACTAGTTTTTCATCTTCCGGGAGACCTGCAACACGAAGCTTCAAAAGCTGGAGTATTGATTTCGAATACCCTTCAGTCACTTTCAATTTAGATAGCCATGTACGTATCGTGTTTATCGACGGCAGAGTAAAATATTGCCGCATTTGTCGATACGCTTTGTGTGAGCAGTAATGTAGCACTAGGGCCATGTTTTTCATCCGGTCTGAATATCTTGCGCCACGTAATTTTCGAGTCTTATTTTTTTTGCAATTCAGACAAGATGGGATCGTACAGCTTTTCAGATCCCTCAGCCAATAATGTTTTCAAGGCAGAAACTTCCTTTTGAAGATTTTTGATTCTGATTTTCTGCTTCGAGGCTTGTTTTTGGTATTTCCTTACTTTCTTTTTTAATTCTCTATTCTCTTCTTCCACTATCACCAATCTTTCCATGGCACTTACAATTCTTTCTATACCTCCACTATAATCGTGGTCATGGGAAATATGGCTGCCATGGACTTTAGTTCGCTGTACGTTAGAAAGTGGAATAAATGTATGATCTTCGAGGTCTTCATGCCCAACTTCTACTTCTCCAACGATATCGATCTCACTTTGATCATATTCTTGATCAACATCCATTGACGAAACATCTTCCATATTTTTTGATGAGAAATTAAGGTCGATTTCCATTGAAATCGCCATAGAAGCAAAGCTGGCATTTTGTCCTTCCGATATAGCTGGGAATAGTGAGGGGATAGCATAGCTCCGTAGTCTAAAAAATGTATATTTTATATTATTTTGTTTTTATTTTACCTTCTCTCAATACAAACCCTTGTGACTTATTCTTAGGATTAATGAAATGGTTGTTCTTAAAATGCTTAGAACATATTTGACTGTGCTTATTTATGGCCGGATTGCGACAGAAAAGAGTCCAGATGTGCACATCCCTTGAATCATGTATAGGGTTAGGTTATAAACATATAAATAAACTATGCAGGTACCTGTTGCGAGCAAAGATTCGGTAAAACGATGAACTTGAAAGAGGAGTTTTAACACTTAAGTAACCTGTTACAGCACACGCAATTCGTCCCATATTCTTCGTTTTTCACATTTTTTAGCAATAGAACACACAACAAACAACGATCGGCACCATAAGCATCAAGTCTATCAACAAACTGTATGAGCGTACTGTCAGCGAAACTGTCACTGTCAGTTGAATTGACGTTCAGCTTGACAAGTTAAAGGGCCAACATTAACAGTGTATTAGTTAGATTTTTGCTCACCTCGAGGCGCTATTCAAGTCTCCTGCAAAAATTATAACTGGGTCATCTTTTTGCCTTATTTAATCTTAGGAGACACCTTAAAGAAAAGCATGACACATCAAAATTCCTGTCTTTTTTCATTCCGCTTGCAAATTTTTGCCGGAAAGTAAACTTGCTTAATTCTCTACCATTCGTTTCTAGACGGGCGTATTGATATCCAATATCGTTCATTATTAGCTCTGGAAAAAAAAATCCCCGTAGTGTGAAATGATATTCTTTTGGTTTCCTTTTGTTAATTTGTGTGGTTTGGTTAAATACCTTCATCACAGACAAAAGACATAACTCATTGCATATTTTTGATTGTGGAACATCGTCACTAAAACACTACCGCCATCTGTTAAGTGCACTGTCAGTGGCAGCACACCAACAGATGGCGAAATGTTAAACGCAAGGCAATTGAACATTCCGAGAATTATGTCTGTTTGTCTGTGCTTTCATTATGTCACATGCACATAATTCCCATTTGTAGGAAAAAAAGTAGAATGAAAATGAAATCAATACTTTCGATACACCTGCTCACTCATTTCCTACTGTTTACGTTTTTATTCCGTCACAAGTACTGTAAAATATGACTCTTTCAAATAGTTGCTGCATTACCCCTGATAACTAATCTAACTTTTTCCCATTTCTCTTTTTGCAGTTCTTTGCGCTCGCAATCTGGCCCGAAAGGATCTTTTCCGTAAGTACCGCTTGAGTTGATAAGTTTCGGATATTTTGCATTACTCATCTGCTGATTCAGTAAGGGTCATTCTTGTGCCGCACATGCATGCGAAACGATTGCACGAGGAGGCATTTAAAAGAGGTTTATAATTCGGGGCAACCAATTTGGGGAGCATAACTACTCAATTCCCATTCCACCCGAATCGCGCGAAATGGTTCTCTGCTATACAGCTTTGCGCTCCATAGAGCCCCGGGTGCTTAACGACCTATATAACATTGCATTCAGAGCCCAGTTTGCCTTGGTACCGTTAAAAAAATGGAATACCGTGCCATGGGAGCACATTCCAATGTCATCGCTATACTTTCTGCCACCTTCTCGCGCGCAGTTCTCTCGCTTTCTGTTTTATTTCTATTGTTTTAGGCGGCATGGAGCGAACTGTCGTACCATATTCCTGGGAGTGCTTGTTCGGATGCAATCGTACGCTTAATGGCAGCTATTTTCACTTGAGGGGAGTTAAAGATGGAACAGCTAAGTAGAAAGACCGAAGCAATAAAGGCAACGATTACAACGATGGCAAAGATGTGGTGCATAGAGCTTTTTGGAACCATCGAGAGCATCGAATCTGTCGTCCAAAGCGCTGGAGATGGGCATCAGAGGTGAACAGACGAAGCAGAACAAGGGCAGAGATTCCTTCGACCGTGGACCGACCGTGTTTGATTGAACGGATTGAACCTCGACTGCATAACAAAAAGATCAACTGTTATTGTTGTAGATAGATATCAAAGCACACAAGGAGCAAAGCAGCAGTAAAAGTGCAGTTTGTGAAATAACATTTGAAAAAATGACCTTGTTACCAAAAAAGTTTGAGAAACTTTAAAAAACTCTTAATATGTAGCACGTTTGAGAATTTACTGCTAGACGTTAGAAGCAAAATGATGACTCATTTTCACTTCGTATCAATTCAAGTGTGGCTCTAGGTAGGGTTTCACTTTGCAAATTTGCAAGTGCACGATTTGCAGCACACGTAAGCTGTTTTCATAGTTCATACCGAGTCTGGCAGGGGACCAATACTAGACGACGGGGTATTGAAATGCAGCACAGGCAGGGATGGAAAGAATGGGGCAATAAAAAGTGAGAATCGCTTACGACCACGAAGACATGGACAATGATGGCTTGTAGGGCAGTCACCAGCAGCACTAGCAGAGAGCCGAGCCGAGCCGTCTGGGAGTGGTAGCACTGGCATTATGGCTGATGTTTTTCTCTACCGATTGTTCGTTCAATTGAATCTTCTCGGTTTTGGTAAAACAGTTTAAGCAATCCACGGATTGTGTGCTGCCGACCAGGCTGATTGGCCAAGCGTAAATAATTTCTTCCTCTGGAAATGAGAGGCAATGGAAGCAAAGAAACTGAAACGGTGGTTTTTGGTTTTGGACGAAAGCTCATTTGCTGAATTTGGAGAAATCTAGCCGAGGAAATTATGCAGAATAAAAAAGTAAATTTGTGTGGTTACGAACCGGTGCTCGGTGACCTTCTCGGTTTGAAGCAGAAAATGATGTGTTAATTTGAGTTTGACGCTTTCTTGAGCATGGATCTTGAATCATTCATGCAAGGTTTTCTCACCAACAGCAGGTCGAACGAGATTGATTGGGCAATTAATCTTATAGCCAATATTTTAGTTACACAGTGAAAATGATTTCACTGTTTATAGATGCGACGTTTTACTTATAAATACACTTTGTTGCACAGTCTAGGATCTAACCATAGGTATATTGTGGTCCCTTGAGTTAAAGTGTAGAATTTCTTTATGCTCGAATATCATGTGGTATTATTCTTGTGGGCAGACCAATTGTAAAAAATGACTCATTTAACGTATGTCTTGAACATTTGAAATTCGCTATGTCGATGTTTCACCCCTCATTTTGGTGATTTTATAGCTCAATTTCTAATGTTGCAAACTCGTTGATCTCATATAGGCTGGCATAAAGGGAGCGGTACCTACACCAGACCGGGGGATGTAACAGGGTGGCCAGCGAACCGGAAATCCTAAAAGTAACCGGGAAACCCCGGGAATTTGACGGGATAGCCGGGAAAAATCAATAAACCTTAATATATGATCAATTATAGTTTTTTTTAATTGTTTATAAATGAACAAGTTTATAAAGTTTGCGAAAGATATTTTTTAAAATTTTCATGGTTTAATATTAACCTATTTAAAATCAACATACTATTTTGTTTTCCCATAATTATCTTGAAATTCTGGTTAAAATAATCATGAAATCCTTCTTAAAACTCACAAAAAAATACTTTTAGAACTCTTCTCGTATCTTGGAATTCTCTTTGGAATTCCCTTGAAATCCCCATAACAATTTCCTCGAAATCCACCATAGGTTTCCTTTAATATTATGCTGAGAATTAAATTTCTTCGACAATATTCTCAAAATATTAATCAAAACTTTCCTCGTGGATTCCAGTATTTTAAAATAGACTGGTTTTGATTAGAAAACTTTTTTTCAGGAATCCAAAACAAAAAGAAGAAATAGACTCTTCTTTATCAATTATCCTCAGAACATTCTATAAATTTTGCTAATAATTACCTTTGAATTCTCGCCAAAATTCTCTTCGTATTATTTTTAAAATTCGCTTGCTCATCTCCTGGTCCCCATAAAATTCATCTCAGAATCAAGTAGGATTTCTCCTTGATGTTCTTTCCACAACTTCCCAGGAATTATTTTATGAATAATTGTCCATAAATTCGATGGAATTCATCTCAGAATTCCTTTGGTCATTATTTTAGATTTATTTTGGAATTCTGGTCTGAACTCCCTTAGGATTTGCCGGAGTGAAACCATGGCTGAAAATCTTTTTAATGAAGACAACCAACCACCAATCAACCCCTAGGATGTTTATCAGAATGTTGTAGTTATTCTGCTGAGCATTTCTCTTGAATTAACACAAAAGGCATTAACTTTAATTTTTCCTAAAAAATCCATACGAATTATCCTCATAATTCTATGATGTATTCTTTTAATTACTAGAGCCCTGAATCTTCTTTCAATTTGTAGAGCCTTGAAAACTTTCCATGACCATTTTTTTAAATCTGTGAATTTTCCATTGTTCCACATTTTGAGTATTTTTATCAATCCCATATTCAAAAAAAAAACAATTAATTTTGTTTTATATATCTAGGACCTTACTGTTTTTATAAATATTTACAAATAAAAAAAAATCAATTTAATGCTCTTAACAAATCTTAAAGCTTCAATTTTTATTTAAGATTTCTGTTAGTTCAGATTAAGGAATGATCAAACATTTTTTTACTCCGAGATCTTCAACAAATTTTCCTCGATCTCATTTGTATAAAGTAAATGATGCCTTAATTCGATCTCTCATTCTTTACAATTCGGTTTAATGACCCATTCAGCGTATTAGCGTTCGGTCTGGTGACCTTACAAACATTGGTAAATGTAAACAGTAAATGATACTATCGAGATATGCATTAAGAAAATTCAATTTGCATCACTTTACTAAGCTTGAGACCTCTTATGTTGGCAAAGCTCGTGAACTTACTGAGCAACTGTGTCATGGGATTTTTATGGTCACTAGGCCGAACGCTATTGAGCTGATTGGGTCATTAGACCGAATTGTAAAGTGTGACAGATTGAATTTAAAAATTGTTTAAGAAATCATTCAATTGATACTTTATATAATTCTTATAATCATTCCACATTTGAAGATAACTTGCAGTTGACTTACACGGTGGGCAGACAGATTAATAATTATTATTAGCTGGCTAATAATTGTGGGATAGCTGTAAAATGGATGTTTAATGGATCAAAACACTGTAAAGAACGAAGATCAAATGTTTATTTTATAACATTCGAGCCATTTTGTTGAATATACTTTCATTTTTACCATATTTTCCTTTGAAGTACTGTTATTGAAGATAATTTACCCACAAATATCATGGCAAATTGGCAACGATAAAAAAATGTAATACTTTCGTTATTTACTGAATATTATAAATCGGGATTTTTTAAAGATTTAAATAGGGAAATCTGGGGAAAAACCAGGAAATTCAAAATGAAAAATCACTAGCCACCCTGATGTAAGATTCGCTTTCAATTATGTGGAATTCATCATCGGAGGATGTTAGTAAAGACCACATGAACCGAGGATGCGATATACCTAGCTTTCGGTCCAATGCAAGAAAATTTAGAAAGAAAAATGGGGAGTGTATTAGTGAGTGAAATGAATCATGTCCAAAAATAGGTTGCCGACTGAGGGACTCGAATCATGAACGTTGCGATTATCAGATCTGTGCTTTCTCCACTGCTTCCTCCATGCTTCTGGATGTTTTCTTCTCATACTCGACTTCGTATGTTATTTTTTCTGCTGGAGAGATTTGAGGCAAGTATGTGCGTCGCTCTACAATATTATAAATAACAAGCTTGGGGTAGAGTCGAAAGAGTAGATAGAACACCAAAGAGCCAAGAACAAAAAAAAACATTACATCATCTGCAAGGTCAACTTCTAACATTCGCTGTGATTTTCATGAGCAAATGGTGATAGGAAATGGAACTAACATTCATTTTAATAATTTTTTTGGTTTGCGTGTATAAAACGTGACGTATTAGGGTAAAAGCATATATATACTTTAACCGAAGACATAATATCAAAAAGACTGGCAACTTTGCCAGAATCCAAGCGCCAGATACAATAGCTCTGGGCTTGAGTGAAGGTGGAAGCAATGCATAGAAAAATGAGCAAATACACAAACCTTTCTTCTGGGGATGTAATCTTTGCTATCAAATTCGTTCGAAGCATTTACCTTTGAGCGGCAGATGACGCGATTGTACCTGTCTCATAACGTTCGTATGCGAAAATGGAAGAGTTGCCAGTCTTCTTGATTTGTTGTCTTCGCTTTAACTCAGGAGACCATGAGAAAGTCAAATACCGTGCAGCACCTAATACCGTGAGTTTGACAATAAACTTGAATATTTTGCGATGTCCAAATTTTT